GCATCTGCTCACCCTGTGGTGTTGCCTTAAATCCCTTCTCAATAAATGATGCAGAGCTTTAACATTGCATCATTGCAGGCCCAGTACCATGGTCATGCACAATCTTACAACCTATGTTATGTTAATGATATTACAGTTTTCCAGTAGGTGGGGATTTCAGTATTACAATTAGCTAAACATCACTATAGGGCAACCAAAGCAGTTATAAAGCAGTCAGGGCTGGTTTGAGCCAGCCTTTTCAGGTCAAAAAAGTGCTGAGACACCCAAGAAAGTTCTGGGCTCCTTTCCTGGGCCTAGTAGTTATCTTGGTAAGTGCTTAATCTATTTTGCAACAATTTTGCTGAATGCTTCAGGCTAGCACAGTGTTTCTGTCCCATGGTGGGGAACATGCATTTTCTTCTCAGTACTCAATAAACATCCATCAAGGAAATTAAGTTTATGAAGTGAAGTAAATATTAAATCTAAGATTTGAAGATAGCTCTGCAAGGTTGTAAAACACAATTTTTTCCCATTTTATCATACATCTTCTAGGAAAGTAAGGTTTTGGCTGTACGGAAGTCCAGTAAAGATACATATTTGTTAAGAATCAGATGGTTTGGTTTTGTTTTTTGAAGGTCATTAAAGGTAGATATTTGTATAGTATAAAGGGCTGTACACATAGATTTCATTATGGTTCACACAAAATTATCTAGAATTTTTGTTACTAGGGAAGATGGAGGAGCCAGTCATGATTCATATAGTAAGAAAAGCCATTGGAAACATTTCTTGCAAAAAGTTATTTAATATAGGGGATTAACATCTTATAAAACCACTGGAGTAGCTAGAGAACTGCAAATTAGGAAAAGTCTCACTAGCATTGAGGAAATTAGGAAGTGCAAAATTTCAGGAAACCATTTCTATTGTCAACATTAAAATAGATGATGCAGAGAAAAAGCACACATTTATCTGTTAAAACATTACTGCCTGTGCTAAACTCACACTGGCCCACCTCCTTCATAGACCCAACAATGCCTTTTGCTCGTCTTCTGTTTTCCAAAATTCAGGTAAATATCTCTCATTTGTGGAATATAACTCAAAGCTTGCTAGCATGCATTTGGGGAAATGTAACTCTTAGGTTTCCAACCCTTAAGAAACAGGGGATAGAAGGGGATGGGAGAGTATGGATGGGAGGATATGGTGCTCAGTTGATTTCAGACAATCTGGCAATGTTCAGGATTGCTCAGATGGTAAAATTTCTACTTCCAACCTCATCCTCTCTTTACTGGTACCTCTTCGGATTCTTCAGAGTTACAGTGATGCAAGTTGACTATATCTTTTTTCCTTTTTCTCTTATCAAGGCCAATGTGTCAATAATATTCTCTAAAACTGCCCCATTAGTAAAGGTAGACAGAGGAGTAAGTATAAATAAAGACCATTCTTCCTCTGACAGGTTAGTTGGAATGGAGGAAGAAAGAATAAAACCTGTATAATTATACGAACACTTGAACAATTATCTAAAAACCACAGAAGAATCTAAATTCTAGGTTAGTTTCCTAGTATGAGTAAAAGAAAATGATGTCTCAGGGAGAAAGTAGTCTTTAAAATTTTCAATTTGATGAGAGAGGAAATATTAATATACATGGCTGTAAATGACAAAAAGTTTATTTTTCCTTAAGAAAACAGAGAACTTAAAGAAACAACACAAACATAGTGGAGAATACAAATAACTTATGATTATGTATCATGACATTAAACAAAGGTAAGAATTTTATTAAACAAAGGATTATTAAGAATTGATTTGTAAGGATTTATGAATGACATCCGTCTGTTAAACCAGCAGTCCCCAACCCTTTTGGCACCAGGGACCAGTTTCACGGAAGGCAATTTTTCCACAGACTGGGTTGCGGGAGGGTTGGTTTGGGGATGATTAAAATTCATTACATTTATTGTGCACTTTATTTCTATTATTATTACATTGTCACTTGCCACTCACTGATAGGGTTTTCCTATGAGTCTGCAAGCAATTGATTTATTATGGTCGTCTCATAGGGAGCACACAACCTAGATCCCTCACATGCGCAGTTAACAGTAGCGTTCACACTCCTACGAGAATCTAATGCCAGGGCTGATCTGACAAGAGGTGGAGCTCAGGCACTGATGTGAGCGATGCACAATGGCTATAAATACAGCGAAGATTTGCTCCCAGCCTGCCACTCACCTTCTGCTGTGCTACCCAGTTCCTAACAGGGGATTGGGGGGTTGAGAACCGCAGTGTGGAACCATTCACCTTTTTCTGCCTTGGTACACTGGACAGATGTCCACAGCCTCCCCAAGTTCTCATGGTTATGGAAGAGCTCACAGGAAGAAAAGCCTGCAGTTTATGACAATTCACACCACATTATCTGTAACTCCAGCTTCTCCTCACTGATTTGAAAATGTATAATTGAATGGAAGTAAGTGAAAATGCCTAACCCCGAATCTACTCTCCTTTATAAACAAATAATTGGCAACTTTCAACACTTTAACAAATTACTTGCAAAACACCACATGACTGATAAAGGAATGTGTTGTAACATTAAAATTAAAGAGTGCTACATTATCTTCACAGGAAATAAATGAAAACAGTAACGAGTCAATAATATTTCGGTTTTTATTTTTGCTCTGCTTATAGAAAAGTGACACAAATTGTAAAAAATTGAGAAGGGGCATGTATGTGTGTATACACACATATTTAATTGCAAACAAGAATATCTCCTTGATGTACACTATCACCTAATATCACATTGTCTGTGTATAGAACATCTAACCATCTAAAAGTGGTGATTAGTCTTTTTCTGAATGACATTCTCATTTCCATCACTGTCCTTATAGAAGTAACTATCCCTGGGCTGTCGATGGGGTGGGGTGGGTTGGGGAAGGAGGGAAGGGAATGCACTCTGGAATGTGAACAAAATACTTTGAATGTATGCAGTTGATAAAGCTCCTTGGTGAGTGTAGCCTATTTCCCCCAGTCAGCCGATAATCAAGGAGGACAGATATCAAACTGGTGCTTATCATTTTAGACACCAACACATTTTAAAATGATTAGTTATCCATTAGGATAAAATAAACTATGATCTGCCTCTAGAGACTTGTAGGGCTATGGAGGCCACCTACTCTGTAATCATTCTTGTTCTCTGGTATAAGCAAATCAGAATCTTGTTTCCAAAATGCAGTTGAGGAAGAAACAAGAAGATTCAAGGGACATACTTAGGGTTAGGACTGCCGAATGCATTGTATATATTAAGTTG